AAACATGAGTGGTCATAAATCTGGCGACGGCGTTATTTCTCCTTGTTTCAGACAATCTGTGGCTTGCTCCAGAACATATACGCAACCCACTTTTACCCCCAACTAAAATGGGAGACATCTACAGGTTGATGTTGTTTTTGAACTCAAAGTTGTATCTATGACTTCTAACCCACTCAAGTCATCATCAAGTCACTCGAGCCAGTACCATTGAGAGTTCTATTGGTCCTTGTTGTAAGTAGAATCCGCTGTTTAGGTTCCCTTCGGAACACTAAGAACATTACAGTTTTGATCTCTCTCTCTTCTCCTACTATTTTTGGCGAGAAAGCAACCGCAGAGAGCTCGTTGGGCTTCCTCTAAATATTTATTCGATGTGCACTGGTTCAGTGCAATTCAAATGTCGTCCACATGATTCGTCATGATTTACTTTCTACTGTTATTTGCTCCACGGATCTCCCGCATAGAGGGATCTCATTCTGGTTTGTCGCGAGGCTACACGGCGTATCCCCAGGTGGAGGATTAAATCAACAAGGTGGATTTCCTGTTTCTGCTGCGTCCAACTGACACATACTTTCTAGGTTTACGAGGACGTATTCATGCAAGCGTGCATGGAAGTGTTCGCGTTTCTGCAGATTGTATTCTACCAGTCAGTTCGGCTAAAAGCCCGCATTGAAGTCATAAGAAGGTATATGGAAAGTGGTTAGAAGTCGGCCCAACAAATGTTTCCCGTCTACTTTGGGAGAGACTGGCAAGCTAGCAATGGGTATACCCAGTCCCACATTCAGAAATCAGCTTTACGTGAATATCAGCGAGTTAAACATTGTAAAAGTAATGGGCTTCATTTTTCTGACCCCGAAGAGCCCCCATTATAGCGGCGTTTGGTGAGGCGAGTACGGAAGGGTTGGTGAAATCGTAGGACCATTCTAGGCTGCATAGATAGCAAAGGACTTAGATGACAACCTGTACCTTCAAGGCTGGCAGAAGTTGCGGAGGCTGAAAAAAGCATTCGGAAAGCGCACCACGTTGATCGTACTTTGACGTTTAGATGGTACAGTTGCAGTTTTCAGAAGGGAAGGAGAGAAAATTATTCACGATAACTACTCGGATGTCCTCAGCATTCACATCCCCTATCCGTTATGTGAAATAGAGGAGAGTGGATGTGTCGTCCCAACGAGGAATTGGAAAACACCAGTTCAGGACAGGATAAGAGTTGGACACCTGAAGAGCCTTCGCAATATAAAATCAATGGCTCAGCTCTCCACATTTACCTGTCAGAATGCAAGGTTCCTTTTAATCGAAGAACAGCAAGACCGTGCTGTTTTTAAAGAATGGTAACATGCACGATATCGGCATCTATCACCCAATCTAGTTGGTCTCTGCCGTCTACAAATCGTTCACTCAATTCATCTTAATCAGGATTGAGGGAACATCGGATAAAGGACAGCCATGACAGCGAGCAGGGTCTCGAAGAGGATTCAGTGCGATGGACCACATTTACATGATAACAAGACTCATTGAAGTATCGAGAGAATGCAGGAGACCGCTTTATCTCAAATTCATCGATTTGAAGAAAGCTTTTGACTCAGTCGAGGCAGAAGCAGTTAAGGAAGCTTGGAACAGGTCTGAACTGGGTTTATAGAGATTCTTCGTGAGTTATATAAAAATTTCACCACTAAAATGCCATTGTATTATAACGATATTAACATTAACGTCAAAAAGAGAGGTTAAACCAGGCGATACCAGCTCGCCAATATTATTTGCATCGGTGATCGAGAACGTCGTGCAAATAGTGAAATTGGAAAATATGGGAGTAAAAATCGATGTTTGGCAATTGTGGCATCTTCGTTTTGCTGATGACATCGTTCTTGTAACACCAAACATTAGCCAAGCGGAACGAATGCTAGCCGATTTTAATAACGCTTATTGAAACGATTCGTCTGGTAGTAAATCTAACAAAAGCGATGTTCATGAGAAACGCATTCTGTTCGTGTGCTCATCCATATTTAAAGGAACGAATATCTTCGTGTTCCAGAAGTGTCTGCCTAGGTCATGAAATCAATATGATGAAAGACTTGGCCCTAGGAGTTGGACAGGAGGAATCGAGCGGCTTGAAGAGCTTTCAAGAGCAGCATCGATATAGTGAAAAGAACAAAGAACACGCGACTCGATTTCCACCTTCTTCACTCCACGATTCTTCCTGCCATAACGCAGGCTTCGGAAACCTGTTCGATGCCTAAGCAGGATGAAACACCACTCAGTGTTATTGAATGCGCTATTGGAAGGACTATAGCAACTTGGAACATCCCGTGTAACTTAAGTGACGGAAGGGATCGGAACCTACGATCTACACAGTCGAAACTCAAAGACGCCGTTCTCTACAAACTGTCGATGATAAATGGGACCGGCTACGTAGCGCGTACTAACGGAAACAGATAGACAAGAGCCGTTAGTGACTGGATTCCTCGAGATGTAAGACGTACCACAGAAAGACCACCGACCTCATGCTCAGTCTTCTTCATCAAAACCCTAGAAAAAGGTTGTGGTGTTCAACGAGTACCTGTGGCATGAAGAATTCACTGGGCTACTCTTGAACGCGACAGGGCAAAACGGAACATTGGCTGGCGCCTGCTCGAGTCATTCGGAGAGGAATTGGATGACAGGCGATACAGGTGATATTATTTGTTACCTACCCCAACATCATACGTATTACTCTTTGCGGTTTCCAACACTTTCTGCATTTGATTTATTTTCTCGAATCACCAATCTACTGAAGTTTTCGAGCTTTTTCCCTGTTGGTTCGGTTTCTTCTAGAAGGTTTCGTCTTCATCATGAATGTTCCCGAATCGTGGTTTAGTCGATTTTTCCTGGACTCCGGATACTAGTGCTACGGTGTTCTTATTTGGATTCGAAAGAGTGCTTTGATTTCAAACAAGTCTGCAATTAATATCTCAAGTCCAGAGGGACGAGAAACTGATGATGCCGGGAGGGGGGTCAAACCAATTTCTGAGTATCTGGGACCGTTCGCATGGTGAAAAAGACCACAACCATTGCTTTGCGGACATCGATGTTTGTCATGATAGCTTAAGAAACACTAGTTAGGAAATAGTACAGAGAAAGGCCAGATGTCTAAGGATGAACTCATGAAGATTAGATACTGTTGTAGTAAGTGTTGATTACACCTTGTTACTTATTAGTCTCTGCATTCAAACTTGTCAAAAGTTGGATAATCTCCTAGCAAACTCTCTTAGTAAATCAAAATACACATTCAGCTTCGCTGTTGTCTGCTCAGAGATCATGACTAATAAGTCGGCGTGGGACCTCCCAAATCAGGATTACGGTATCGATGGTAACTTTGCATAAATTTATCATATGTTGCCACCAATGTCTTCATATTGTATGTTCCATATCCACTTTGTAAAATTTTTGTTAGTCATTTAACGTACGTGATGTGGCATTGATGACCAGTTGAACAAAAAATGGAAGCTAAGAGAAAAGAAGTACTCTGAGTTAAAAACGAAACACGGATTGTCTAACCGTTCTTGCAAAAGGATTAGCAAACAACCATAAATATACGCTAAAAATAGCGTGTATAAATATTCAAGCGAACGACAGTATGATGATATAGGTGGAGAATTTGCTAATACTAAGTTTTCCCTCGCGGAGTAGGTTTCTATTAAAACTGACAAGTGATTTTCTTCGTATTTTTGTTGAGCAAACGCGAGGTGTTACTATTCTTTGTTCACGATTAAGCTGACGTTTCGGCGAATTTCGCCTTCTTCAGAGCCTGGAAAGGTCAAGTTGATAGCAACTCACCCGGCCAGACGCCTCCATAACCAAACAAAGAAACTCCAAACCAAGATTTCAATCACTTTGAACACAGCTCTGCACACTCACCGCTTTCTATGAGGTTTCCACTAAGTATGTCACGTAGAGACCAACCGCACAGAAATCACGTGGAAGTATAATGTGCCCCTCACATCAGAAAAGCAGTTTTATATACTGCCCTATATCACGCGTGATAATGAGGCATTCTTCCCTGCGGTTCATTTTCGGATTTCTGGAATTAATCCAGAGTGCCTCGAGAGTTTTTCGCGCCTGTGTTCTTGATTCGCGTGCGAGGATCGTGACACATACTTCGAAGTCGTCCCCGTTATGTCTCTGGGTCCTATGCGTGCCTAGCGGGGTATTTGGTCTATTTTTGCCGGCTAGGTGTTCTTTCTNCTTCGTATTTTTGTTGAGCAAACGCGAGGTGTTACTATTCTTTGTTCACGATTAAGCTGACGTTTCGGCGAATTTCGCCTTCTTCAGAGCCTGGAAAGGTCAAGTTGATAGCAACTCACCCGGCCAGACGCCTCCATAACCAAACAAAGAAACTCCAAACCAAGATTTCAATCACTTTGAACACAGCTCTGCACACTCACCGCTTTCTATGAGGTTTCCACTAAGTATGTCACGTAGAGACCAACCGCACAGAAATCACGTGGAAGTATAATGTGCCCCTCACATCAGAAAAGCAGTTTTATATACTGCCCTATATCACGCGTGATAATGAGGCATTCTTCCCTGCGGTTCATTTTCGGATTTCTGGAATTAATCCAGAGTGCCTCGAGAGTTTTTCGCGCCTGTGTTCTTGATTCGCGTGCGAGGATCGTGACACATACTTCGAAGTCGTCCCCGTTATGTCTCTGGGTCCTATGCGTGCCTAGCGGGGTATTTGGTCTATTTTTGCCGGCTAGGTGTTCTTTCTGTGGGTTGGGTGAGTTGCTATCAACTTGACCTTTCCAGGCTCTGAGGAAGGCGAAATTCGCCGAAACGTCAGCTTAATCGTGAACAAAGAATAGTAACACCTCGCGTTTGCTCAACAAAAATACGAAGAAAATCACTTGATCAATGCCGAGGTTAATAGAAGGTCGGTCGTGGCAGTTACTGACCAGTGAGTTACGAGAAGGCGTATGATTTCTGAGCTGCAGTTGAATAAGAAGATTTCAGAATTACTGTACAAGCTAAAGCGCGGTGGCCGTCTCTCAATCAGACCACCATTGAATACAGAGGATAACACGAATTCCAGCATGGCAGCGCTGGTGAAGCACTGCTGGACCGAAGAACCTAACGAGCGCCCGACCTCTGACGAAGTGATGTCGTTCATTAAGGAGTTGAATGACAAGAAGTACGTTGTTTTGGTTGCCATATTTCATCACGGATTCGTACTACTTTGCTACCATTTTCCTGATTTAGGTGAAATCTATAAATTTGCTAACTATGGGAGAAATAGGTGCTCATGTAACCCAATGGTTAAATGTGCCCTGCAACGATCACAAGGGTGATGGCTATATTGGTTTCGGGCCCCCAGTACACCAAACCTTCCATGAATTCAGATTCTGAAAACTGCTACCAGTTTGCGTGGAAAGATAAAATACTGAATAACATTGCAAACGGACTTCCATTAAACCTCGTTGTATGGTCAATGTACCTTCTTTCATTGATTAAACTAACATGAGGTTCATAATGTTGACTTTCTATTTACTGCGTTTTACTAGCTTTCACGGCAGGGTACGGGATTGAACCCGTTGACGGGTGACTGCTAATTGCAGTGATCGATAGAACTACTTGAAAGACAGGCGAAATGAAGGACCGCATGGTGTGTTGATGAGCGCGCTATTCCCCGGAAAGGGCAATAGAGCATTCGTTCCCCACCGCAGGCACCTGTGGTCCGGAGTTTTGCAAATATCTCAGCATCATTGTGGTTGTTTCACAAATAACACGAGGTTGTTACCAAACATTAATTCGGCAAACGTTTCGACGTCTTCGTCTTCCTTAGAGCCGACGATCCGAGTCATTGTCCACATTCATTCATATCCTTTATGTGGTGTCTTCGTCGACGCCTTGAGTCGAATCCTCCTAAGTGGAGCACCGCTCGAACGAGGTAAACTCACCCGACAGAGCTATTGCAAACAGGACAGTTGTTGTTGATAATGACTGCTCGTCGATAGTGACTCTGTTTTCAACTGAGAGAACGTACCTTGATCATTCCCACTAAGGTTTAATAAAAGTTGGTTAAGGATATTATTCATTTTCTATTTGCTACGGGCTAGCTTGGGGTACGTGCGGCGCAGTGATCGGAGGCCCCTGCAACAACACGTGGAATCGATGCCTGCGTCCATGGCCCACCAAGCATTCCATTCCTCCAAGGTCGGCAAATTGGTGCTAGAACTTCTCTGGGAGTATAGCAGCACTGGCTCGACACATCGCTAGGCCACTGCGACTCATTGTAATAGCCAAATATGCATTGAATCACCTCCAAACGATGCATGATGAAGTCGAATACGTGGCGCATCCCTTAGGGATTGATCAACTTCGAGAGCTTTATCCTTTTTCATTTATGTGCTAGCTAATTTAAAACCAAGTGCTGCAGGATGGATTGTCCATCAGAGAACAAATTGTTATCAACGGACAATCTTTATCAACAGCAGTAGTACTGTATAAAAGAGCGCTGCTGGGTGAGGTGGCCCCATTCGAACGGTGCTCCACTGAGGAAGATTCGACTCGATACAACTATGAAGACAACGCATCTAGAAGGCGAACTAGTGCGGATCATCGACTCGGGCCATCGGCTCTGAGGAATACGAATACATCGAAACGTTACACGAAGAAAGGGTCGGTAACAACCTCGTGTTAGGCTAACAGTGAAAGAATGTGGATAATACACTAAGTTGATATGTCAGTAGGTACAGCAATTTATTGCATAGGCCAGGCACGCATTCAATCTTCTCTGGGATCCATGTTGCAGCTCAAGGGATGGCATATCTCTCAAAATTAGAGGCTCTTCCAATGAGGCTTTCACTTTTACTGCTCCAGGCAATAATAGCTCTGGTTGGAGTTGTCGTGGCATGAACTTACCCTTTGCCACTTTTTAAGATGAAAACGTCCTTCTACTTTTGGGTGATCCTTCCTGAACGAGTGATCTCTTGGATACTATGGAGAACGTTATGTGTTTAAAGAGAAATTTTGAAAGAATTTTGGCTCAACTCCTTGATATAGGCAACGGAGAATCATTATTTTACTGTAAATTTAATTATAATTGTTTTCAAAAGGAAGAAAACTTAATTATTTTTGATTCATTTAGGTCTTCAAATCTTATGGACCATGTTTTCCACATATTGGAGCAATACGCGTCAAATCTGGAACATGAAGTGAAGAATTTCCCATTTCTCTTTCTTTCTCTTGTGCAGAATCTTGAAAAGGAAATATCGGGTTTAATCATTCCGTTGAGCTTCAGCGAATTGAAAACTTCTTCGCGAAGGACCAATTTTCAGATTGAAGCTCGAATGCAAGAACTCATCGAAGAGAAGAAAAGAAGCGACATTCTACTTTATCGAATGTTACCCAGGTTTGTTGGGCTATTCCATTTTCCTCATTTTTGATTAAAAAACTAGAGAACCCAATTTCCAAGAAATTATTTCAACACTGTGAAAAGGGTAATAGCATGTTCGGTCCCCACCGCAGACACATCGGTCCGGAGTTTTGCAAATATCTCAGCAACATTGTGGTTATATTTCAACACTATTTAAAATGAGCAAAATCAAAATTTGCCTTTAAATAGTAAGCTTCTAACTTTCTAATCTTTTGATGGAAAGTAGACTAAAAGATTTCGTTCACAATGAAAGGTGAGGAGACAATGCAAAACGAATCTGAATTCGTCATCACAAGGTATGGAGCAGTTCAGTTTCTCTTTTGTGACCTATACTGTTCCAGTACTGGAATGTCAAACATTCGAAAACTTATTTTATATATGAAGAGACTTAAGACAGGTGGTAGAGAAGCTCAAGTTGGGTCAAACAGTGGAGCCGGAGATGTTCGAGTGTGCAACGCTGTTCTTTTCGGATGTAGTGTCTTTCACAACTCTTGCCAGTAGATGTACACCGCTGCAGGTAAGTCGTTCACGAAGAGTTAAATCGAATGGACTATTTAACAGCAAATCTAATCGTTACCAGGTGATCATCTTCTTGAATGATCTCTACACTGTGTTCGACACAATCATCGAGGCGCACGACGTTTATAAGGTTTTACATTGAGTTGCTTTGAAGGATTTTTTTAAAATTCTGTTCCACATAGCCCAACATTGAGATCTCTGCATTTCTGCATTTGATTCACTTTCTCATATCTATCATCCACGAATATCATGGAGCTTCGTGTACTTGGACGACAGCTTGAAGGTTTCCTCCCTCGTTATGAATTTTGTTGAGTACTGATCGAGCCGATTCTACTTAGAATCCTAGAACTGCTCTAATAGGGCATTTCCACATGGAGCGAATGCAGTGAGCTGAGTCTGGTGCCGGTTTCCTAACCTGCGAAAAATGGCGTTTGGTGGACACGGGTGAGATTGAAAAAGCACCCTGCTCGTGATGAAACGCCACCATAAATGCTTATGCTAACCGCCCTCTTAACAGACTTTACGGAAATTTCGAAAAGTATTTTTTAGAACTCCATAAATTGCAAAGCGAATCGATGGCTTATATCATTTTTGGAATGTATTTCATCACCAAATTTTCAAAACAGCAGTTACAGGTAGTGAAATTGGAGGAATATAAACGGCTAGATTGTTGTACTTCTCAGTCAAAATCGGTAACCATTTCGGAAATACCACAATGATGCTGAGACATTTGCAAAATTCCAGACTGCAGATGTCTGCTGTAGGAACGAGGGCGCTATTGCCTTTTACGGGGCTAACGCGTTCACCCCCACATCATTCTGGTCCTTCGTTTCGGCTTTCTCTGAGCTAGTTTTCTGCCTACCAGTGCCATCAGCAGTCACCAGTCAACGGGATTGATCTCGGGAGCCCACATCCGCATTGAATCTGCATGGAGCCGCATGGTGTGGTGGTGAACGCGTTAGCCCTCGGAAAGGGTAATTGCGCGTTCGTTCCCAACCGCAGCCACCTACTGTTCGGAGTTTTGCAAATATCTCAGCATCATTGTGATTGCTTCAAACATAATACTTTGCCGTGAAAAGTACACTAGGCAGTTAATAAAAAGTTAATAGTTCGGAATAAATTTTATAATGTGGGATCGCGCCAGATGAGAACTGTGCTCCATTTGGAACATTATTTTTGCATGAAGTCGACTGTTTCTAAAGTTAAACATCGTAGATACGATCCTGCTGTTTGCAGAAGTTATAGCTAAACAATCTTCTCAAGTCCTTTAAATAAGCGAGAGTAACAATAGTCTTTGAATCCTAGTTTCGATTCATGTAACACAACTTCTTTGCAGCTAATGAAACCACAAACTCTTCTGGAAAGTCATTCCTGCGCAAAGATGCGCAAAGAATGAAACAGTTTGCAGATTTGTACGATGTGATTCCTCAAAAGCGCTGATGCGAAATCGATGTCATCTATTACAAACTGATAGCCAAGATTAATAATTTCCGACATGATTGAGCTAGCGCGAAGTTGGCATAAAACTTTTATTCGGCTAACGTTTCGGCGACTTCGCCTTCCACAAAACCGTATTGATCCGAGTTGGTGGTCCACAGCTGGTTGTCTTCTCATCGGTCGAATCTACTGGACCCGAGTGAAGCTCCCCATTGAAGCGATACTCCACTCCACTGGTTTCGACTCGATTCGACAACAAATACCCAAGTCGCAACAATGAACAGCGACTCGGATCAACGGGTTTTGAAGAAGACCAAGTCAACGAAACGTTAGATGAATAAAACCTTTATATCAAATTCGTGTTAGCTCAATCTTATGAAAAGTTACTGATTATTGTTGCTGAGGTTTAATGAAAGTCGGTTTTAAGGCGATAGCCAAGGCTGTTCAGATAGATCCCGATGGCCATCTACATGAAATCAAATCTCGTCACCATTGGCGAGTGGTAGCGCTGCCTTTAGGGTCGTTCGATATTGCTTCGCTATCAGTGAAATATGGCTGTGTGAAAATTCTGGATCTTTGGTGGGTGATAGAGGAACTGGGGCGTTTGAATCGTCGACATGGGGTAGAATCTTCAGTAAAGTTGTTGTTGAACATAGTACTGTTACCCACCATGATTTTGTAGAGAGTCCTTGCAGGAGTTTCTAATAGAGGATACGGTGAAAAGATGACTACCCAATTTGAGCAGTGGTTGTGCGATTCACTACTGGAGACAGCGCCCTGTCTACTCGTCAGCCAGAAGCTTCGAGAACATCCCAATCTATTTTAATGCACAATCACGCACTTCATTCCTTTTAATGATTTCTTGCAGAATGAAAATATTGTCTCTAATTCAAGACTACTTTTTTATACAAACCAAGAAGAAATTTAACCTGCTGCAGGTGGAGACGATCGGTGACGGCTACTTGTGCGCATCAGGTCTGCCGCAGCGTAATGGCAACCAACATGCGGTTGAAATTGCTGAAATGTCGTTCGAACTGCTACGGGCTATCAAGGAATTCCGCATCGCACATCTACCTAATGAAAGAATCAACATTCGAGTTGGAATTCATATCGGTTACTAGTCTCGAAGTTATTTTTGCATCGTAACAAATTTTTTTTAGAAATAATATTGTAATCCAGACCTATCCAGGGTCAGGTGTCGGGTTTTCTCTGTTGTTTGAAAAGAGTTTGATTGTTTTAGACTTCATATCCCAACATAAAATGTAACTGAGGTCTTATATAAAAAATTTATCCAAACCACACAAAGAAGCAACGGAGCTGCTATATATAAAAGGATAAAGCTCTCGGCGTTGATCAATCCCTTAGGGATGCACCACGCATTCGACTTCATTGAGCATCGTTTGGAGGTGATTCAATGCATATCTGGCCTTTACAATGGCTCGCGGTGGCCTAGCGATGTGTCGAGCCAGTGCTGCTACTCTCCAAGGCAAGTCTGGTACCAATGTACCGATCCTGGAGAGATGAAAGGCTTGGTGAGCCGTGGGCTCGGGTACCAATTCCAATTTGGTGGGCCGTGGGCACGGGATCAATTCCAAGTGTGCGCTGCAAGACCCCTCCAACCACTGCACCACACGCGCTCTTTTTGCTTCTATGTGTATTCCACTTTTATTCATAAAATTCCGAGCTTATGATGATAATGCCATTGTGGGATTCTCGATTTAAGTATCCAGTTCATAAACGTGTCTAAATTTTCCTACTTTAGAAGTGAGTTTGCGCGGAAAATGTTGCTATGATGAAAAGATCACAGAAAGAATGATTCCATTTAAGTTTCGACCTTCTGCTGTAAACCTCCTTACATAATAATTTTTATGGACATCTTTCTTGTTTTGAAGATCATATGAACGAAGTTTTGTAAGCATTTCTCAACTGGGAACAGCATCCCACCACTTAATCTTTGACCGAAGTCAAACGATCCATGCGTGCAAGTGAAAACTATGTTAAGAAAAATGCTTTCGATTCTCCATTCACGCTCAACGGCTCAAAAGCTTCTGAAAGTGTCAACCACGCATGATTGGGTCTCTGGTTGAAAACTGGACATAACGGCAACTTATGTCCAATGCTTACCAAGAAGGAAGTGGATTCGGGAGTTCACAAAAGCACCATAGATTTTCATATCATCGGACCCTCTTCTACTCAGCTAGCTCTTCTACTTTGGCGATCTGCTTCGTCCCACTCGCTCAATATTACATCAAGAAGTTGGTACGTACAATAAACAGCGGAGTAGAAATAATGCAGTACATCGTACAATGCCTGACTCGATCAGGAGGAATTCCTGATTCGAAACTTGCTCACACCAAATCAGTTGAATCAGTTAACTGAACAGCGTTCTCATCATGCTACGATGTAGAACCTTTCTAGGATCAGTAGTGACCGGAGTAGTTGGCACCACCATGCCTCGATATTGTTTGTTCGGCGATACGGTTAACACTGCTAGCCGCATGGAGAGCAATGGGCATCGTAAGAAACGTTTACTACTTTCCCTTCAAATTTACTGCCACTAGATCTTTTTATTTCTACAGTATTTCAGCTGGACGAATCCATATTTCAACGGATGCTATGAAGTTTTTGACGCAAGTAGTTGGTGGGTACAAAACAGAACCACGGGGAGAAGTAATAGTTAAAGTAAGTACCATGCCGAATCACAGCACTGAAAATGATCTATGCTTATATTTCGCATGACGAATATCAATACTCTCGAAGATTGGTGACTTCTCTATATTCCCATTCATTATCGGATTGCTTCATTCGCATTTTCAGTTAGCTAATGAATTTTGTTTAGGGCAAAGGAGCCGTGCAAACTCATTGGCTACTCACTCCTGACGAACAAGAGAAATGTAGGAAATGACTTAACAGATAATGGCATTTAAAGCTGTCGTTACCTTATCACACTTTCAGTGTTAGTCCATGGTGTATTAGCAACATTTTGTATCGAACATTTTGCATGCGAAGTGACAGATTCTTGGAGGGCTTTTTTGCCCGGTAGTTGGTTACGAAACTTTGATAGATTTGCAAGTTCTAGGGCGGTGTAGATCGTCCACGGACGACTTTTCTGTTGTCCATTGCGAATATCGATGATCTTTTCCTCATTTACAGTGAACCTCAGAATCATTCATTCCTCACTGGACTCAGTTGGTCACAGGCGTCTGAACCTTGTCTTTAATTGCATGCTATGTAATGTCAGTTTTATGAGATGTCGGTGAAGTTCTTGTTGCTGAATGTAAAGTTGGAACAGAAGTCTTTTTCGATTTTCGTCAATTTCATGCAACGATTTCATTCTCGTTTGTGTTTACAAATAGCAGTGAGAACAATATATTTATGATAGTTGTCAAATATAGGAAGGGCGCGTGTGGAGCAGTGGTCGGAGGCTCTCTGTAACATACCCGTGGAATCGATCTTGGCGACCGTGGCCCACCAAGCTTTCCGTCTCTCCGGGGTCAGCAAATTGGTACCAGACTTGTCTGGGAGGATAGCAACACTGGCTCGATACATCGGGAGTCCTCCGCGGGTCATTGTAAAGGCCAGATATGCACTCAATCATCTTCAACGATACTTAACGAAGTCGAATGCATGGCGCATCCCTCAGAGATTGATCAACGCCGACAGCTTTCGCCTTTTGTTTTTACTAAACATAGTATAGCACCTCTGTCGCTCAGTACTGCAGGATGGAATTGCACGTCTTCCCCGATATTGTCGCAGTCGCAGAACTTGCCAAATAACTGGTTTTCCTTCAGGACCCATATCTAACAGGAATTTGAAGTCCCTGTGTTCAAAATATATTCAGAATACGACTGGTGAAGTATCATAGATAATCGTAATTTTTTTAATACTCTATTAATAAATCTTTAGATGTGAGGGTGTACCGAAACAGGATTCTGAACATTGGACGATTTTCTTCGAGAGCAATGGCAGTTTTAAGCGTACGCTCAACAGCTGTTGCTGTTGCTATCTGGTTCATTACAAGTAACTCTCAGAAATTCACACACTGCGATTTTATCTAAATGCAGAATATGCACTTTTGAACGTGTGCATCAAGTTTCGGCTATTGGTTCCTTTCGGTTTTAAAGTATCCTCTTAGTTTGGGGTGCCTCCTAACGGTTTACCGCCTTATCGTGGCTAGGAGGTCTTCCTGAGTGTCGGACTGCGATGTACAGTGGGAGATTCGTCACCCCAGCAGGGTCTCTCAAGCTGAGGAGTCCGGCATTTCCATCAGGAAGCTTAGCTAAGAGTTAACCAATACCAGGAACCACCACTGTCGCGGTATCAAAGTCGCATGGCGGCAAATCTCCCTCTGATCAACAAGGGCTACGGCTGCCTGTGGTGGTAAAGACGTGGAGCAGACTTTGGTCATGCTGACCTCGGGATTCCAGGGACCACAATGGCTTAATCAGCAAATCTCCAATAAATGGTGATTATGCTGGAGCCCGCACAACTAGTGAGGACGGGCCGTTCAAGTGTCCATTGTAGTTTAGGGAGCATTCTGACGATGTTGAACCGGCATTCTGCCTGCGCTATGATGCACCTCAGAACTTTCCCAGTTCACAGGTATTAATGTAAAGGCAATCAAGAGATGTGTTCTTGAGTTCAATAATTGAGGCAGACTTCAACCAAATTTAAAGCTGAGTTATGACTTAAATAAGCTATCAAAACATCAAGGATAATAGAAACTTCCATGGGAAAACTGAAAAAAGAGCAATAAACAGTTTTTTCAAAGAGGTACAGAACATCAGGAATGAGGCCGTCTCCTAAAATATTTTTTCGCGCACAACGTTTCGGTGTAACCGCTTTCCTCTGTGTTCAAGTGATCTGAATCAGGGGTCCATGGCGGATGTTTCCTACTGAGTCGAGAATTGTGTTCGTATCAAGTCCAACAGAATCTAGAGGAACCGTACGAATGAAGTAACTTCACTCAATAACGTCATTCTATACAGAGTTTCTGGTTGATTGCCAATTCATGAATTTTCTCTGGATATTCCGTCCTGCGAGCGCGCGTGGCGCAGTGGTCGCAGGTGCCCTGCAACACACACGTGGAGTCTGTTTCCGCGCCCATGGCCCACCAAGCCTTCCACCTCTCCGGGGTCGGCAAATTGGGACCAGACTTGTCTGGAAGGACAGCGGCACTGGCTGGATGCATCGGTAGGCCACCGCGAGTTAAGGTCAGATGTGCATTCAATCACCTCAAAACTATGCTTAATGAAGTCTAATTCATTGCGCATCCCCGAAGAGAATGATTAATTCCGAGAGCTTTATCCTGTTTTTATTTTTTTTCTGTAGCACTAGAAATTATATTAGATAACACAGTGAAGCAACATGGGTATGGATACCCGAACCATTGACATTTGGGCCATCTAAGTAATCGAGTAAGTAAATTAAAAGACAATTTTAACTTTTTATTTACTGCCTACTCTTTTTAACGGCAGGTTATACACTGTAAAATATAACTTCAATTATGCTGAGATATTTGCAGAACTCCGGACCGCAAGTGTATGCGGTGGGGAACGAACGCGCTATTGTCCTTTCCGGGGAGTAGCGCGTTCACCACCACACCACGCGGGTCTTTCGTTTCGCCTGTCTTTCAGCTAGTTCTATCGATCACTGTCATCAGCAATCACCCGTCAACAGGTTTGATCTGGGGAGCCCAAATCGGCATTTTCCGAAACGAAGGACCCGCATGGTGTGGTGGCGAGCGCGTTACTCCTCGGAAGGACAATAGCGCGTTCGTTTCCCACCATAGACACCTGCGGTCTGGAGTTTTGCAAATATCTCAGTATCATTGAAGTTAAATTAAGAGAGTTAAGGAGTTATGATGCGAGGATTTCTAATTGTTCTGAGTTTGCAGCATTTCTTGGATGTGTGTGCTTTATACTCTTTTCAGACTGTCATTCTTCTAACCTTGTTGCAATCGGCGTTTGGGGTTTTTTTTTTGCTGACAAAGTTGGGTTTCTTTCGAAATTTCTTTGTTGCCACAGCATTTATGCACTCCGAACGCCACCGAAGATTCATCGTAGTGATGATAAGAGAAGTCACAGTGGATTACTGAGTGAGAAATAAACACTATGTGCTTTGCACAACGAACCATGCAGTCTAAGTATCCTTCACGTAATGAGCAATGCTATTTTTTATGCACTTCTCAACTTGTTCTAGTTTCTAGTTCCTATGTGTATGTACACCATGCGTTATAGGTCTTTATAGTTAGACTGTGTCAAATTGCTCTTGGTGTGGGTATGCTGCCACTACCACTCGCAGATTGTTTTAACGCATATCTGTCTAAACGTTCTTTGTTTTCTCCATTTCTAGTGAAGTATCCACCATCATTTCGATTTTCCTTAGATCCCATCATCTCTCACGCCAAAGAGGTAAATAGTTTTCTTCGTTTTTGCTCTGTTTCTGTCCCAAGAACTTTTTAGTGATATTTTCAACATTTTCTTTCATAAACTGCCATGTTGTCAAAATTTCCACTCTCGAACTCTCTTAGCGACTGCCTGTAGTGGTGACGATCTGGGGCGGAGTTTGGCTTGGCTAACGTTGGGAATCCAAGAAACCATAATGGCAAAACCAGCAAGCAAAACTTCGAAAAAATGGAGAATATACTAGGGCCCGCACAACCAGTAACAACGGGTTATCCAGATATTCAAGTAAGTAGTAGTAACTCTCTTATAGCACCAACGGTAGTGTATCATGCTGAAACACGGCAACCATTAAGCGCTGTTCCTGTATGGCAAGCAATCTCATGTACACATAAGGAGCTGGCGAATGTAAACACATAGGTAAGGTTTAGTGTCTGTTTAGATTTCCGATTTTGTGTTACGAGGTATTAAAGATAATAGCTGGCTTTTGGTTCTAAGCACGGCTATGTCATTTTTCCAAGTATTTGTACAAATTAACTCGTTATATTTTCAACTAAAAGCTTTCGTTTAGCTTTTGGATGTGTAGTGTATATATTTTTCCATTAATGCTCTTGCATGATGTTGATACGAGATGTTTATTGTGGCTAAAGTTCTGGCGAATTCGCGCTACACAGAGCTCCAATGATTCTACTTCGGTATTCACAGCGTTTTCGTCCACCTCGTCTAAAACCATGAATAGAGCAAGACAAACAGTAGATTCCATCATTGGAGCTCCTTTAAATATTCCACGTGACACATTCATCTGTGCAAATTTCACAATTCAGATGTTCGAACATCTGATTCCTTCTCTCAGCGAGTTTATCAGCAATGTAGGCATTGCTGTGGATTCCAGTTGACTTAGGCACTATGCAAACGAGGTATTGCAGTGTTCCACCAGTAAATAAGACATCCATGAGCCTATGTTTGCAAGAAAGCGATGAGATTGACTGCTGGTATTACGACAGTAGTTATCACGTGTCACTGTTACTGTTTATGGCAGTCGTTGGAGCTGTGATTATGAGCAGTGGAAGGTCTTCACATTGGCTTATTTGTTTGGAACCTCTCAAGCCCATTCGGAGGTGAATTACAACATTTTCAAAACTGATGGCTGAAAATCCCATCCAGCTGATGGAAAAAGAAGATCGTTTTCAAATGGTTTGCTTTTATTATCGATTTACCTCCAACGAGAAGTGTTCTTATGGTCAAAGACAACACCATGAATTAATTGTATTTGATAAAAAGATAAGGTGGCAGTGTTTATGTAAATACATACTTCATTGTGTATGTTTACTTTTTTCCATTTTTATTTGATCCGTCTTCACGTCTAATGTGCGGATTCCAGCACATTCGATTCATTTCTTCGCATCCATTGTCCACGAAGATCTTCCAACTTTTTACGTGTGGCTTCGGTTACTGCTTGTTGATTTTCATTTCATCTTTAGTGTCGTAGAGTCCTGAGATA